CCTTGATCCAAGGTTACACCCTTACTCCAAGCTCTTGCCTGTAGTCCAAGCTCGTCCCCTTGTTCCAAGCTACTCTTGACGCTTGAGCCAAAGTACCCCTTAATCCAGTAATACAAGCGAGCGTAGCGAGCTTGTGAGAAAACCTTTCTACCAAGCTGGGCATTTCTTCAGATAACACGTTGTGCAAATGATGCTTTTCCTCGTCAGGGTTTTTAGGTGTTGCGTCGGTGGTGTTTACGGTTTCTGTTTACGGTTCCAACACTTTCTGGGGGCATAGGGGATTTCTTCTCAGCGTCGTATCATGGATTGAGACTTGCGGGGGTGTTGATGGTAATCAGACTGCACTGTGATGCTGGACAGTACAGGGAAAGTGACAGTAAAAAGAGCTTTCATTCGTCGAAATTGGTCTTGTGTTCGAACTTGCGTTTCCGAATCCATTAATTTCATGCACGAAAAATGAACTTTCATTTGAATTTGAACTTTCATTCCGTGAAAATCTCCTTCAACTAGTCGAGAATCAAATTTCATCCGTCTAATTTGCTTTTTCACTTGCTGAATAATTCAGTCTGAATTCGAGATTGGAAAGGCGTATACGCTAGACTTGAGATCGCCGATTTATGTTATATCATAATATGCAGCTCATCTGGTAGGGGTTCTCATCTACCAATGATAGGTGAGGAACCACTGCGAGATTGTCAGTAAGGTGGAGCATCATACTAGCATGATTATCAGTTTAATTTCATGCTAGTATTCAGACCGACACTTTTGGTTTGTGATTTTTGGGACGCGCTCCATTTTACTTGCGCTCTCCGGGGACTTCGACTGAGGATCTACGAAAATCCTTAAGAGCGCAAGATATACATCGCACGTTCATTGAGTAGCTACGGAGGAGTCCTCCGGGAGGACGTCAAGGAGGATACATGAAGGATGATATGTTCATATGAGGATCAACATAAAGTAGTAGCGGATTGGAGAGCTATGAGTAGGAGGTAGGTAGTATTCGTTCTGTTTTGTCGTTCGGTTAGTATGGTTTGATCATCAAACTTTGATGTATCAGCAATCCGCAGTTTGTTCTGCATAGATTCTTCTTGGTCATCTTGTGTATACCTTGAGTGGTACCTAGGTTGCATTTTGTATATATTTCGAGTGCATCTTGTGTACACCCCGGTGTTTTCTCTAAGTACACCTTACTCAACCTTGAGTGTACCCTTGGAGTGTATCTTGCGTATACCCTGAGTGTTCCCTTGGAGTACATCTTGTGTATACCCTGAGTGTTCCCTTGGAGTGTATCTTGTGTATACCCTGAGTGTACCCTTGGAGTGTATCTTGTGTATACCCTGAGTGTTCCCTTGGAGTACATCTTGTGTATACCCTGAGTGTTCCCTTGGAGTACATCTTGTGTATACCCTGAGTGTTCCCTTGGAGTACATCTTGTGTATACCCTGAGTGTTCCCTTGGAGTGTATCTTGTGTATACCCTGAGTGTACCCTTGGAGTGTATCTTGTGTATACCCTGAGTGTTCCCTTGGAGTACATCTTGTGTATACCCTGAGTGTTCCCTTGGAGTACATCTTGTGTATACCCTGAGTGTTCCCTTGGAGTACATCTTGTGTATACCCTGAGTGTACCCTTGGAGTACATCTTGTGTATACCCTGAGTGTACCCTTGGAGTACATCTTGTGTATACCCTGAGTGTTCCCTTGGAGTACATCTTGTGTATACCCTGAGTGTTCCCTTGGAGTACATCTTGTGTATACCCTAAGTGTACCCTTGGAGTACATCTTGTGTATACCCTGAGTGTTCCCTTGGAGTGTATCTTGTGTATACCCTGAGTGTACCCTTGGAGTGTATCTTGTGTATACCCTGAGTGTTCCCTTGGAGTACATCTTGTGTATACCCTGAGTGTTCCCTTGGAGTACATCTTGTGTATACCCTGAGTGTTCCCTTGGAGTACATCTTGTGTATACCCTGAGTGTACCCTTGGAGTACATCTTGTGTATACCCTGAGTGTACCCTTGGAGTACATCTTGTGTATACCCTGAGTGTTCCCTTGGAGTACATCTTGTGTATACCCTGAGTGTTCCCTTGGAGTACATCTTGTGTATACCCTGAGTGTACCCTTGGAGTACATCTTGTGTATACCCTGAGTGTTCCCTTGGAGTACATCTTGTGTATACCCTGAGTGTACCCTTGGAGTACATCTTGTGTATACCCTGAGTGTACCCTTGGAGTACATCTTGTGTATACCAAGAGTGTTCCCTTGGAGTACATCTTGTGTATACTTCCAGTGTACCCTGTACCATTGTAGTTCAACACTGACCGACGTATTTCTATGTCGACTTTCTAAATGGCGTGGTATCATTGATACCCGACGGTATAATACACTGTAACACTGTTATATTGTGTCATGCACGCTGTGCGGCTCATGGATTTCTGTCCTGTAGTAGAGTATTGTGTCGAGTTCCAATGGTGATGCGAGTAATACTTCATTTAGTGTCATAGTTATAGTCTCCATCCACATGACAAGAGGTGATCGACGTCGTTCTGTCGTGGAGCGGCATGTAAGGTGTGTGACACACACTGTGCGTCGTCGTATTCTCCGAGAATAAGAAAGAGAATAATCCTCGTCATTCTAGTCGTGTAGCATGTTCGCAGTTATTTTGGTATAATTTCAGAAAATTGAGAGTGAACAACAAGAACAACGAATACAGGAACTTCAGCTGACCATAACTAACCTGCAAAAGCATATTGAGTCATGTGCATCTATAGAGGCCGAGGTGAGCATCAGGTATCCATTGGATATACCGTATATACCGAGAGATATGGAGACGCATATACCGTATATTTGAACTCTTGGATACTATCCAAAGGTTCAAATATACGGTATATGCGTCTTTGTAGCAAGTCATTATAACTACCGATTACATTCGTAATGTTGTGGGGTTGAGAGAATCTCTCAATTAATTAACTCTTTCATTACTAACTTTTTCTAATGCAGGTCATCTCCGATGATGGCTCCATCATGCCTTCTATCCAGCTAGATGCTGTAACTGCTCGAGGGCGAGTGGAGCAGCTACCTGGGCATACGGAGGAATTGGAGCAGAGGCTATATGTGGGTGGTGCATCACTCTACATGCGAATTCATAGTCTGTCATCTTACTTGCGTTCTTTGGCAGGCTGAGAAAGATCATACAATACAACAGTTGAAGATGCAGTTAGCACATGAACTTGAGGAAGCGAGTACTTCCAGGCGGGAATTAGCTGAGGCGAGAGAGACATTGGGTCGAGAACGGGTAGTATAATATCGCTGTAATCCAGTAGGACATCAGTTTTTGGCTAGGCTGAAATGGAATACAAGGTTCAACAGTTAGAAGAACAGGTGGCTCATGCAGTCGAGGAAGTGAATTCAGTCAAGAAGGAGTTTAGCGAGGCAAGAAAAGCATGGACTCAGGAACAAGTAAAATGGTAGTTACTCCAGCTATGTCAGCTAGTTTTGTGGTTAGGAATCGAGTGCTTTCGCTCTTGCTGATCTGAAAATTGAAGCTCAGCAGTAATGTAGCACTGTTTGAGAGTATAGAAGTTTCCTATTGGCAATCTTCTCAGACGCTGTCATGAACGTGACAATGCATGGGAGCGTA